GAACGGAAAGGCATTAAAATTCGGCGTGGCGCTTAACGTGTTAAATTACTTTTAATTTACGATTCCTGAAGTGTACATGAGGTCTTCATGAGGTATATGAGGAAATTGCTGTGATGTCCTTTGATTCCTTTTGTGCTGCTCTTTTTAATTTTCTAGCCTCTTTAATCTCCCGTTGCGTTCTTACGTTTGCTGTACAATCAGAAGCGATCGTAAGACTACGAAACTATTCGAAGCTAGCACCTTAATTTTATTGAATCTTATCGGAAGTATCGAAGCATTGACGTTATACTCCCACCACTCGCATCTTCCACTACATATCAGGGTACGACGCCTTGCTAGCCCCTTTAGAAAGAACCGTCCTATTTCTCTGCTGGACGCCTACGATGATACATCTTTATCGACGAGAGACCAACGAAGAACAGACAAAGAGGATGAAGAAGGGAAGTGTACCAGTAATCTATATACTTCCTCAGCGGTCTTTCTTGCGAGACCACGATGTACGTGAGGCGAAATATAATACATGACGACTCCCAAAGAGGAGAATACCGCATGTATTGATACACAACCGAAGTAATCTTTGATTGGTCGCTTTGACTATTATAAACAACAAATAGGGTTTTTTATGCCGCAAGGCTTTTTCCTTGACGAGCTAATAAACTTAATATAATCATCTGAGAACTCCATGCTTGAGAAATCTGAGTACATACATTGGTTATGGATATTATATATATATATCCATCATTAAATATATTAGCTACAATATAAGATAGAATTTCAATAATTTTTGCCCTACTGTAATGTATTTTTGGAGCCATAGACCAAATTATAACGTTCAGATTTTCATTGTTATTTTGGGTATATCCTTTCAAACAACATTCCAATAAATCGTTATCAGTTAATATATCGTACACCGGTTTAATTACTTCTTGGACAATTACAGAAATAGAATTTGTATGTTTATACGAATCCAAAGTTCCAGAGGCTTTTGCTTTTTGATACGAAAACCAGGTATCATCGCCGGATGGGCACTTGTCATGTTGTGGATCAGTAGATATTTTATGGTAATAAGTTGCTTATATCGTATCTTTCATGATTTCAACTGATGTATTTATACTTCTTCTAATTGCAAGACCATAGTAAATTGTTAATTCATCAATAATATCGGTTGTGAACTTTCCTCTACCACCTATACCAGCATTATCTTTTTTTATTTTACGTAATTGCGTCCTTTCTGCACGTTTTGCACAAGAAATTTTCAAACACACACTCATACTAATATAAGATCATCAAAAGCGACAAAGGTGGTACATTTATGTGGTTTTCCAATTACTAGGGATCCTGTAGGAGGGATGCACCATTCATATTCAGCTCATGTGCCATTGGCTGAAAATTTTGGGGGACCGCTTGAATTTATAATAATTTTTTCGTGTAACCTATTCTATTTTAATATAAATTTTTAATTATCATTAAATATAGTTCATTTTTTTTCTGTATTTGATACAATTCATTATTTCATAATTATTTCAATGTTTGAATCATTTGCGCGCAAAATCGAGTTCCGGTCCCCCAGCAATGTACATGGCGCATCCCTCCTATAGGATTCTTACCAATTACAGTATTAAAGCGTTTTATGCGGCATAATGCTCAACGTTGAATGTTTCAATTAGAGCAACGCTTCGCACAATCGAGCACTCTCAAAAGTACTGCTTTCGCGCAGTAATCCCAGAGACTTTAGTTCGTCTGATCGACACAGGGGCGCAAAATTATCGTACACACCGGAAAATTATCGTACGCCCCGGGAAAATTTTGAATTCTAATAATTTCTCGAATGAGATTTTCAAAATGTGGAAAAAAAGTGCAAGTTCCAACTTTTTCAAAGTTGATGACCTTTTTTTTCTGTTGTCTTCAAGTTCAAAACCCTATCGTAAAAACGGTGAAAACGGCGTACGGCAGGGAAAAAGACTTGTTCGTATAGAGATCGTACATAAATCGTACACATATCGTACACAGATCGTGGCGGTGGTTCTCGAAATTTCGATTCACTATAGGAAAATCGTACCCGTTTGCAAAATTTGATGACTAAAAAAAAAAAAAATAAGTCTATGAATATTTTTTTTTCAACACTGAACTTAGCGCACTCTGCTGGTGCGCTTGAAAACTAATTCACGTTTCAATTAAGCATTAGCACAATTCGGCATTGTGCGCCACTGCTCGCACTACACGTATTATGCTCTGTAATTGGAAAACCATATTAGTTTCCCGACCGTCTTTTCTTGCTAAGCACTCCCGCCCGAAACTCTTACTCTTGGCAAGGTAAACTTAAAATTGCTATAACTTCGGTAATACTTTAAATGTTTTTATGATTGAAGGCTTAAAACTTCTTGAAAGTTTAAACAATTTATTAAATGAAAAAAAATCAATTTTTTGAAAATGTTAGGGTGGCGTAACCTCTTGAAATCAATCTTTTGCTATTCTATTATTAACCAGTTAACTGTGACGTTCCATTTTGAAAGTGCGCACCCCTATGTGTCTCAAAAGTCGACCGATTATATATATATCAATACTGTAAATATTCAAACTTTACTTGTTGAAAACTTTTATCGATAAGAATTTATGATGTATACTGACATGTTAAAGAAATTCATAGGATTTTTTTTCAATTATTATCATATTATTTATTTCATTTACTCTTTAAAGAAATTTAATTCTTAATGAACAAGAATGATAAAATTAGTTGATAAATGTTATTTTCGAAATATACATATATCTCTATATTTAGTCATTTTAAAAACAGCTTTATTTGAACGCCTTTGTGAAATAATTTAGTATTAAGAACATAATTTCAGTACTAAGATCTAGTAAGTTCTGTTAATAAAGGTAACGTTGATGTACAGTTCAAACATGTTTTCCTAAGTTGCGTCGTGGAGAAAGTCAGGATGACGACATTTACACACTCGATATTGTAGGACGACTATATCATTTAGCTAACTTGTCCCATAATATAATATGCCTCGGGTTATTCCCCTCAAGAACATCGATCCTTGTGACGTATCGATACTACTTTGAGACTCTGCTGCGAGTTGTCGCTGCGGCGCAGTACGTTCCTCGTAACTAGGGATCCTATAGGAGGGATGTGCCATGTACATTGCTGGGGGACCGGAACTCGATTTTGCGCGCGAATGATTCAAACATTGAAATAATTATGAAATAATGAATTGTATCAAATACAGAAAAAAAATGAACTATATTTAATGATAATTAAAAATTTATATTAAAATAGAATAGGTTACACGAAAAAATTATTATAAATTCAAGCGGTCCCCCAAAATTTTCAGCTAATGGCACATGGGCTGAATATGAATGGCGCATCCCTCCTACAGGATCCCTACTCGTAACTAAGCGCTAGGGACTTTCCGTTGGCTCCTACACCTTCTATTAACATAAATCGATTTCTTTCCTAATGTAAATTTTCTTGAGAAAAAAATTAGGCAGAACCTGTTTATCCATATTAACGAAAGTATTATACTTCCTTTCACGGAGGATAGATACCAGGAGTTCGAACGTAATGTTGAAAGAACGGTATCAATTTAGGAGACAAGATATTTTGCCGGTAGGGCGCGCTACTCTTCACAGAGTACTCGTTTAAATACTTACGCGAGAAGTCTTGTTGCTATTGACAGCAATGAAAAAAAATATTTTGAGAAACGTGAAGTTAAATAAAAGTTTAAGGAAATTTTTAGAAACCTCAAACGTTTTTAACTCAGCAATATCAAGAAGTTTAAGAGATAATCTGCAAAGTTAAAAACATCTGATATTAATAAATCATAATACAAAAATAAGTAGGCACCAAACCATTTTGTTTAAAAAAAAATAGATTTATACAAAAAAAAATTTTTTAAAATTGAGTTTATAGTTCATTTTTAATCTTTCCATGTAAAACTATTAAAAATTGTCTCTATGAAAATTTACTAGTAAAAATATTTTTTAAAATTGTCAAATGCCTAGTATCACGATAAATATACTTGATGAAAAAAAAATAATAAATAAGTTATTGTCAAACATATTATTTATTAATAGTACAAATAAAACATATTTAATATTTAAAAATCAAATTATTATAGTTTTAAGAGTATCCGGAATATTGCTTTCGTAATGGAGAATTTTAAATTATTTTTTAAATTAGAGTGATTAATTTTTTTTATTGATGGTAAATATGAATTAAAATAATTTCGCATTTTTTCGAGATTTTTTAGATTTAATTTTTCTTTCCGTAGCACTTTTATTAAAACATTTGACAAGAAAATGCCCCCGCATTATTAAAAAATTGTTAATAATTTTTTTTGTTAATTCTTTCTTATGCTCATCACAGCCAACAAAAATCGAGATATTCCTTTTAGAAACATCATCTAATATTTCAAACATTGTGTCAATCTTCTCTGTTTTTGTATCAACCACCATTAACACAACTTCTTCTAAGCTTTTTATTTAATTTAATTTATTTTTACATTCACGAGCCAGGTTAACCAGTCCGTATTTACGTGTAACAATAATAATAGTATCGGTACGTTCTGAATACTTGCGCAGCTAGTGGCAAAAAAAAGAACTATGATCTGGGTCAAGAAATGATTACCACAAATAATGTGAAAAATCCTATACCGTTCGGACTCCTGGTATCTATCCTCCATGCTTCCTTTTATATACACACACAAGTACATGGCGCGTAACACGCACGCACGCGCACTCCATGCCATAATTTGAAATGTTAATTGACTGATGTTAGATTATTGTCTGAGTTATTTTATATTATTTATTTTATTTCATTCTTTTATATATCATATATATGTTTAGAAATTTGATGTAAATAGGCTTAATTATGTGATAATGCCTGATGGAAGTATATTACTATCTTTCTTTTTTAAAATTAAACGTTTAATATTCAATATAATTTGACTAAATTGTAAAAAATAAATATTGAAATGTACTTATTCTCATTGCATATACAATGGCAATAACAAATTGAACTGTTTCACATTTTTAAAAATTATCTAAAAATGATACAGAGAAAAATTTAAATAATGTTAAGAAAGAAAGAAAAAAATATATATATATAATATATACAATTATCTTTTATGTCAATTTCTTTTGATGATTCAAACACTTTTTAAAATGCTTTGAACAAAATGGATAAAGAGTAGGGTGATCGCACGTTCTACAAGCAGCTGCAAGATGTGAGCAACATCTCAGACTCTCACGACAACAAGATGCCCAAAAATCGGGACCTGCTGCGGCACAATTATGACAATAACAGTCTCCTGAAAAAAAATATATTTATACACAAAAAAAATAAGATAACAAATATCTTACATAGAAAGTATTATCATAAAACGATTTTTTCATTTTATACGATCGTTTGAAAGCAAATGTTTGATGTGGATTCATCTTCGGAGACAATTTTACTAATTTCAAGCTATGAAGTTTTTTATAACTGTATTTTTATTAATATAATTTATAAAACACCCCCTATTATGAAGCTCTCTTTCGATTTTTGAATTCGATTAAAATTATATCCGAACTATGAATCGTAAACAGGTTTAACACATAAGATACAAATTTGTGCAAAAAAGAAAAAAACCATAGAAAAAGGACCACTAAAAAAGCAACAAAAAAAAGTAAAAATTATCATACGTTTCACGTACACCGCACGTGAAACTTTTCACCGATTTGGAAACTGGTTTTAAATCTACATAGATACGCAACTCTTGTTAGCATTTTTGTATGTATGTGTACTAGGGTGGGTCAAAAAAATGACTTTTTTTTTTTCAAGTGCCACAGAAAAATGGGTTGCTAGACACTTTAAAACAATTCTCACCAAATATGAGCTCTTAATTTTAATAGGAAGATCCTCCGCATCGCAGTTTTTTATTTTTTTGTCAGTCCAATAGATTATTAATATAATTTCCAATAGATTATTAATTAAAAATATAATTTCATTTTTGTTTGTGAATTTTATAATTTGACAATAAATGAATATTAAAAAGTGCACAATACAAATTTTTGTAGGAAATTAACTGCTCTATAAAAATGGTGTCTAATGTTTTGGCGATTAAATTAAGCGTTCAAAAGATATTCAGGGACAGAAATCAGTACACATGAAAGTTTGATGATGTTTGAAAAATGAAATTTGTCTAAAAATCATCAAATTTAAATCTTCAATATCATTCAAATGGTGAGGCTTACGGAAAAAATATAAGATACCTTTTTTGTAGAGCATTAAATTTCCTACAAAATTCGTCTAGAACATTTTTCTGTACAATCAATAAATAATGAGGTATGAATTTTAATCTATTGGACTGACAAAAAAATAAAAAACTGCGATGCGGAGGATCTTCCTATTAAAATTAAGAGCTCATATTTGGTGAGAATTGTTTTAAGGTGTCTAGCAACCCATTTTTCCGTGGCACTTGAAAAAAAAAAAATAAGTCATTTTTTTGACCCACCCTAATGTGTACATATATATGCACATATGTAAAATTAAATAATACAATGATTTGGTCGCCGAAGTATCATTTCTTATTTCAAAGAATGCTTGAGAATGACAGCTAGTTTCATTTATAACAAGATACGCCTCTAATGTAAAAATATACTTTTAATATGGTTATCTATCAATGGGCGTTGTCCGAATGCTTCAAGCTCTTTTATATACATAAATTATTATTAGTTATTTATGAATGTGTACTATGCATATACATATACAAACTGAAATCAGGTTAAATACAAACGAAAAGTGTAATGCGTCAACTTTGTTTCCCGCGCAGCAACATAAAAGAAACCAGACAAGCGAAAGTGACAATTTTTCAAACATAGAAAAAAAGAAACGAAGACCTGAAAGAGAAACTATTGTGCTTTGCGTTATTTATTTTTTTTTTTTTTTCATTTAAAAGCTCCTGTTAATACGAGCGAGAACGTTTCCGTTACATACTCGTTTCACGCCTGTCATTGACTAAAAACAGAAATAATACAAGTACTTTATAGGAGTGGCTATTGTCAAGGTTACCTTTTGCATTGTAACGTAGTTATTTCTTTTGTTTTTCTTTTCTTTTCCTTGTCAGTATAAAAATGGAAGGAATCATTTTTGATATCGTATAAGTTCCTTCATCAAGCTTTATAATGAAATGAAACTTATTTAATCTCTTCATTATCATTTCATTTAATTTCGGATAATACTAAAAATTTCCCATAAACCTCGTCACCTGAATTCGTGCGACGTTTGTATTGTCTATTTGAGGATGATTTTAATAAGAATTTGAAAAGAAAAGTGTGAATATCAATTTAATAAAAGTATTAAATTTATATGCACAAATCATAATAAATTATTTCTATAACCAAAAATAGTTTTTTATTCCAAATTTTTTCTGAATATGAAATTTAATACATAATAAATGTATACATATGTAATAAAAGACTAAAGGCCTCATGGGATTTTTTTCTTTTATTCAGGTGACAATTTAAGTGATTATATTTTATTTGCTAAGGATATTATTAATATGATAATAAGATATCCTTCATTACATAAGGAAAAATATACAAAAAATAATAAAAAGTTTACACACACACACAGTCTCAAATTCTTATCTCCAACACACCGAACATTTCTTCAATTCTCGACTCTTCACTCTTTCACTCCGACGCTTCACTCTTTACTCAGATTCGATACTCTTACTCTCACTCTGGCAATTTTACTCTGACACAACACGCACGCAGGCACGCACACACCTAACTAACGGTAACACTTTCCATACTTCTCATATACTCACATTCCTAGATTTGTATTCTATTAATAAATTAATCATTACCTTCTGGACAATCAACGGATCTACGAGCTTCTGCTCTTCTACACTCTAGACCTTCTTCACTTTTTGGACAAGATGTTGAGGATTCCTCAATCGAATTTTCACCGAGCAACGCATTAATCTAAAAGCAATAATAAATATGATAATTTTCTCTTAATTAGAGACAAATTTATTCATCTATGTCGATCGTTTATGCATACCACAGCGAGATCAACATTTCTAGTTCTACATCTATTACAAAACAAATCACGATTGACATTTTCCTACATATGGTATGTACGCTCGACCACACACTGTCGTTATTCCTATTTAAAATTAACGAATTTTTTTTACAAATGCAAGTAAGAAGGAGAGAGTCGAACATAATTCGTTAATAGTCAATTAAACGAAAAAAAAATCTTTTTCTATCTTTAAAAATATAAAGAGAATAAACTAATACAAGGTTATGCTATTTAAATTCTACAATTTCTTAAATGTCCTTCAATCAATTTCAAATCGATTAATTGAACAGATTTGGATTGTTATTGCTACGAATTTCTTCGATCAGTAAAAGAGCGGGAAATATATGAAACCATTTGAAATGTATGATTTATCTAAAAGAAACGCATCGGACGTCGTGAAATCGAGTATTTTGCTTACTTTCTCATACGTAAGTATATAAGTACTTATGTATGTCTCAATAAACACACAATGTCTGTTTCACTTACCCGCTTAAATGCTCCCGGTTTGGAAAACATCCTGACCAATTTCGCGAGCGCATCCTCGTTTCGCGTTTCTTCCGTAGCATCGGTTACATTTTCCTCTGCATAACATTGTAAACAATTGATTAGCATAACAATAAATAAGCACAATAACGTGTCCCGCAAGGACATATTGTAAAGGATTCAATTCAACTTCACGTACAACGCAAATTTAAATCACGACTGAACAGGTGATTCAGAGAAGTGTCCTCTACTGCTTTAGATATATCTTTCTCTCTCCTTCTCTCCCCCTCTCTCTCTCGGTACTTCACTTTCTAGTGGGGATACGTATTTATATATTGGATATACATATATATTATATGGATGGAAGACGCACATTCGTCTTCACATCGTTTCAAACATTGATCTAATTAGATTTACTAATTTTAAAATAACGAATATGAACATTTTCATATCGTTGAAATTTACAAACTTCATATATATTTTTTACATATGTTAAAATTACATTAATTAGTATATTTGGTGTCAAACATTTTGATCGCTGCTGTTGTACAAGACTTCGATCGAAAAAAACGCGCGAAATATTACATTTTTAAAATTTGCAATACGATGCCTAAAAAAGAAATAAAAGGAATTTACTTTTTATATAAAATAAAATAAAGAATTTATCTTTGATTTTGTAGAAATGATTAAGTCGTTTATATGCCAAAGAGATAAATTCTACTTTTAGAAATGTACTTTTTAAATTTCAGCATTCAATTATTAGATTGGTATTAAACTTTTTATATTTAAAATAAGTTTTTTTAATAATTTGCTTTAAAGAATAAAATGACCACAATTGTGTAGTAGTTAAATAATAAATGATATAACAATGCATGTTTCACGTATTTATACAATTAAAGAAAAGAAAACATGCTTTGACAGACAAAGAAGAGATGATTTAGCAAAATAATCGATATCTATAACGATCGATGGCATCACACGTTATCTAATAATACACGCGATTTTCCAAGAACAATCATCTAATGTGATTTTTAATCTTTTAGCAAATGGCTGATACTGAAACGTCTTTTGTCGACAATTATACGCCACTACGTTGCTTGGCTAATATTATATAAAAAAATTAAAAATATATTTAATTATTTGAAATTAAGTATTACTATATAAAAATTGGCGCGAACGTTTAATGAAGATTTAGTAACCTTTGAAAGAAGAAGTATTGGAAATGAAAGAAAAAATTGATAGCAAGTATTCCAAGAAATGAAACAATTAAGTTTATTAAGATTTCCTAGATAAAGGTTGCGTTATCTTACGTTGAATGTTCCTTTGTGTTGAATAAGCATGAAATGAAGAAGGCACGATTATTATAGTACGCTCCCGAGTTTACGTTCGCAGAGACCGGTCAGCAACATGTCGGCGTTGGCAGAAGACGGAACATCGACCAATCGTCTTTAAGGTGGTTAATAACAATCGCATAAATGACATCGGGCAATGACGCGTTTCAAAATTCAAAGAATGAAATTTTTTATATTTTTGTCAATCTTTTTACTCGGCCAAATCGTGGTGTGCAGTGGAAGCTTTCGAGAACGAAGTACCGGGCGTGAACTCTTCGAAACAAAAATCTTACGTAAAGAAAAAAATGTGCAATATAATGAGGAATCCTCTTCATCATTGTCATCTTCACCGTCATCATCGTCATCACCGACGAAGAAAGTCATCGATGAAGGGAATAAACAGAAGGGTGATGTTAAACCGCTAACTAATATAACCTCAAAGTTGCCTGGTGAAGTTTCAAATGGAACGATACAGACGACAACAGTAACGTCAAAAGAGGTTGGTTAGACCTAACTAACTATAAACACGGCATTAGAATATTATGCAATATAAATATTTTTCTTGTATAGTACACAGAAGAAGGTCATCAAGCGTCCTTGAATTCTGGAGCTCTCCTACGTGGCTTTTGCGTCTTTATAGGATTGAGTATTTTGGTTATGGCCTATATCGTATTCCGTAATTTTAGGTATGCACTGCCATAAATTAATGTAACTTTTGTTTTAACGTTTCTAAATTAACTAATTTTAAAACTCTCTTTATAGGTTAAGTAAAACGCGGGCACAAATGATTCGAAAGTACGGTATCCTTGCTCATAGGCAAGACGTTGAAATGCGACCATTACCGCTAGAAGAAGAAGACGACGAAGATACTACTGTTTTTGATGCCAGCAATGTTTTGACTAATAGTGCTCAACATCTGAACTTATGAAACTGTTTACGTTAGGAACATGTCATTTTCTGTGCTTTTATGTATGGTATATTAACAATATGCCTCTTTATTAGTTTATTAAATCGGACTAAGAATCTTTTTAGAAATGACATTTGTACAAAACAAGAGAAAAAAGATACTTTATAATTGCATCTTTATTTAATGGCATTATTATATTACTAACAAAATGAAAACAATATATTCGTGCATATTGGCTGTAATGATTCTGCTATGTAGCATTGAATATATTATTATCGTCAAAATATTCTTTGTCTTTCTAATACAAATATAGTACTATATATATATATATATATATATATATATATATATATATAGTACTATTAAATATGCGGCACCCATTGTTCATGTATTTATAAAAAAATATCGGGTGGCCACATCTACTACTACACAAAGTAAACTATGTTATTATAACTAAAACTAAACAAATACAGATTATCTCTATTTTATTTAATGCTAAATATTTAATAAAAATTATTTATAAAATGGATTAAATTTTACTTATATTTTTAAATTTCATAAAAACCCATTTTCTACAGCATGAACAATTATATCTGCTAAACGTAATCTTTTTTTCTGTGTATCTAAATTACCAATTGACCATATATCATCTATGTTTACTGCTTCATCTCCTTTTACTAATGTTTCGAGGTCAAATGCCTGTGAATTAGGTAACATTGCAAATGGTAGAGCTTCTAATGCAAAAACAATTCCATAGAAAAATTGTTCTTTTACCTGAAATGAAATTATATATGATATATTTATTATAATTCGTCAAAAATGCTATGTTTCGGTAAGTCAATTATTACATACTTCTTTCATAAACGTTTCCCATGAATACAATTTGTTTGCATCTGAGCCAAGTAAATTAATTACACTAGTTAATTTATCGTAATAAATTTTCAACATTTCATCGAATCGTTCTCTAAGAGTTTTGTTTGTACAAGAATAAATAAAGAATGCTAAGTCAAGAATTGGACTGACACAACGTGCTAACTGAAAATCGAGTAACAGCGCTTGTTTTCTGTTTCCTTCAATGTTACGTACTAAAACATTTGGAGCCCAAGAGTCTCCTTGATTTACAACTGATGTTGGAGCATCTACACGATCACATATTTTATAACACATTTCTACGAGTGAACCAAATTTGTAAGAAGTAAAACGCTTTAGCGCTTCACTGTTTGGATATTCAGTAGCTAATGCATGCGTTGCTATTCCCAATAATCGTTTCTACAAAATAGATCAGAATCTATGTACAGATAAACTAATGGAATTTTTAATCAAACATAGTAGTTTTACTTACATGAAATCTTTCATACCAACCCCAATATTTAGGACTAAAATACGTTTCTCTTAATTGCGATACACACTCCTTAAATTCTTCTTTATTTTGATCTTTGTGTGCAAACGAAATTGCATGAAAAGTAGCAAAAGCTTCTAAAATGACAGTACACTGTTCCATATCTACACAGTCTTGACGAGTTATAGGACCATATCCTAAATTGCAAACATTTTCTAAAATTAAATAGTCATTTTCACCATCTATTAATGATTTTAAGTGACGTGGAACACTTAGGATATGAGCTTGATTTTTGCTTTTGAGAAACTGTTCAAATTTTGGTATAACCTGAAAAGTAGATTTCAAATCAAATTTATTAAAGAGTTCAAAATAATACTTGTCAGAGAAAATATTCAATACAATTACCTTAGTATAAAATACGACCTCATTTTTAAAAAAATCTATACTTCGAAAAGATTTTCTTCTACCTAAATTTTTAGGTAGTGATTTTATCACAATATCGGTTTGTACAGGTTTGCCATTAGCAATACCATTTACCTTGACTTTGTTAACAATTGTTAAATAGCTATCACCTTTAACACTTGCATCATCAAAATCCCAATCGATTACTTTAACATCTTTTACATTATGTTCTGCTGCAAGTATACTTTCTAATACTTCTTTAGTAAGTTTAGCACTTACTGTATTTAGATCAACTTGGTTTCCCTTTTCACTCATTGCTGAATTTTTTCAAAGTCAAGTAAAAATCATTAAATCGTTGTCTGATACATAAACGAATTCGTATTTATTTTTTTAATTTATCTTTTTATCTTGTTATAAAACACGTGACTGTTTAAAAAAAAGATTTATTATTATTAAGATTTATTGCCTTTTTTATTTGAAAGTTTTATCAGTATCTTTATCAATATCTTTATCAGTTTATTCTGCTTATCTAATTTTTTTTTAGTTGAATAATAATAAAATTAAAAAATCTAACGAGATAAGTATTATAAATTAAAGTTTACTTATTTAATTATCAAGTAAAAGAATCAATTAAATAATATAAATTTTAATTTTATAAATTATTTTTGTTTTTCATTAATTATTATTTTTAACTCAAGTTCACCAAAATTTTTTGACGCTTATCTTTAATGTTTTACTAGTTTAATATGTCACATAAGTTACTAGATATTTAACATCAACTACATAAAATAATAGTTCTCAATACATACAATGAGGGACAATAGTATCCGTACAGTAAATATGTGAAAAAAAAAGATCTGTATTTTCTGCATTATTAATTATAATGCATAATACCACATATATGTTTACATGTTATGCCCTAAAATTAGTAGTAAGTAATATAAATAAACAAAAGTTAATTATAATTTTTTGTAACTTATAAGACTTGAATATTCGTCGAATGGTGAAATTTAACCAGGCATAAGTATTCGTATATCGTTAGTAATAAATATAAATGTAATTGTTAGTATTTTATAGGATTCCCCTTTGGGCAAATAACTGCATGTAATCTATCAGGCATGTCTTGTAAGTTACAAAAACCATAATTAACTTTTGTTTATTTATATTACTTACTACTAATGTTTAGTGCATAACATGCAAACACATATATTGTATTACAATTAATAATGTAGAAAAGATCTTTTTCTTTTCACATATTTACTGTACTATGGAGAATTAGTGACATGAACTGTTCTTTGCCGGAAGAAAAAAAATACTGATTGTAAAATCGCTATACTTATTTAGTATTTAAAATTAAATGCACTTACAAATATAAAAACATCCTTTTTGTTTATGTTTATAAAACAATGCGTTAAATATAATTATTAAAATGTGAAGGACTTATTTCTAAGGATAATATAATGCAGAACAAAAATGTAAAAATAATGAGTAAACATTTAAAAAGAAATTACTTACTCAAACTATGGGAAAATCAAATTTTGAAAAGATATATAGTTACACAAAAGAAGTAATTTCTATACTGAATAGAAAGCATAACTCTCGGCTTATTTAACGGGTTAAGTCTCTCAATCTACATGTGGTAGATTGTCCCAGTCTAGATGTGGTGCTTTCTGATTGGTCTTGATATCGTCGATTACAATTGCTTTTTTTTTTCTTCCTGCAGATTATTCTCTATTAACTTTATAAAACAAGGAGATTATATTTATTGTTAAGTTTACTTGTAAGATAATATTTCTCATCCTTTATAAGAAAAATTTGTTAGAAAAGAATAAATAAAAATTGGACATATAAAATATAATTATTGAATAATATTTATTTATGTATTACTATAAATATTTCATAATTATATTAGTATATAATAGTAATATAGAAATATTGTTTTTAGGTGATTTTAAATAAATACCTGAAAGCTGTCAGTTTTTAATTATTTATTACATAATAAAAAGAATTTTTTTTTGTTATATAATTTCTTATCAATGGTGATAAGCATTTTTATCTTTATTTTGTCAGTTTATATCCATTACTAATATTCTCTAAAAAAAGATAGCAATTAATTTCTTTTTTCCCTTTGTATTTTATTCTTTTGAAATAATTTTTATTTGTTTTTCACAATGTTACAAATGATCAATAAAATTAAAAAAAAATTAAGAGTAAAGGTGCCTAGAAAAACAGTATTTTGAGAAAATTTCATAATTGTACTTTGAAAGGAACACATTAAAATGTCCATTTTCATTTTCTTTTCTTTGTGAAATTTCAAGTTTAGTTCTGAAATATTAAAAAAAAACTATTTGATTGATGTCTTATATCGATAAGTAATTAAACAATTAACAAGAGTCCATCATAATTCTCAAGTTGAAAAAAAAAACTTGAAATCAAATGTTTTTCGATTGCTCAGAAAATAATTGAGTTAGAGAACTGAATTTTCATCAAAATTCCTTCTTTTAGTAAGTTTTTAGTAAGTATAGTATTGTACTTTATTTAGTACAATACTATAGTACTGACAATTTCAAATTCAAATCAAGAAATCATTCAACATCTTGCTAGGAGCACAGTTTCAATAATCTTACTTAGTTATGCCTTTTATAAATATTTGTTTGAAAACGTAAAGAAGACAATTTTTTATTCTTCCTTCATATAATAAATTGCAAAAAATAAATACGTTTAAATTAGTCAACCATTATATATTATAGATAAAATAAATGCGTTCCTGTTTTCCAATTGTTTTGTATATATATATACATACATGTATATTTATCTGCATACCGTGCATTGATACGAAACATTTTCTACGAGTATATATGTAAAATTTTTTTTTCCAAAATTAGATGCCCACCAATGGCTATCTTAAAAATTGTCAGAGTTCCTCTCTAGAAGAATAAAAATACGATTCATAAGTTATGACGTCGTTAGGAGGAACCAGTAGTTGTAAAACCAGTTCCTACGAGAGAGAAAAAGTGTCCTCGAGAAAAGATGGTCCTTCGGCGTTCGCTATGCCCTCTGGATTATTCTTTTCAAGGTGTGCTCTCTACGTCTGCGCGTGAGCGTAAGGCAAGCGCAATGGTATGACGTATAAGAAGTAATGGTGCTGAGAGGTAAGGGGAACTTTACTCAGAGCAACCATAGAGAGAAAGAGAGAGAAAGAGACTGAGAGACAGAGAGAGAAAGAGAAAGAAAGAAAAGGCGAATGAAAGAACGAAGAAGAAAAAAAGAGAGGTGTAGTCACGCGTATAAGAGGGAGAAAAACTAAAGGCAAGAGAGTAAGAGAGTAAGAGAGAAGGAAAATAGAGGTAGCGCAAAAGGGTGTGTGCGCATAATACCGAGAATAAGAGATTGGCAGCCATTTTTGCCGACGTTGGTGCAACCTATGGCCCATGGTGCTGTTTCTTCTTGCCCTCTTTGAAGCTGCTTGTCCGACCTCGACGAGGCAACGGATTCGCACTGCTGTCGTCGTACAGGAAGGTAAAGAGGACGGGTGAGCAACCGAGTTAGTGTAATAGCGTAGAGAGAGAGAGAGAGAGAGAGAGAGAGAGAGAAAGATAGTCAGACAGACAGAAAGAGAGGGAGAGAGAGAAAGAAAGAGAGAGATAGTAGAGACGGACGAACAGCAGAGAAAGAGAAGAATTTAAGAAGAGATAACGATAAGGTATCGGACACTAATGATACGCCGTGGCGACCACAAGAGTGTCGAGTGTGCGTGTAAACGGTGCTAGAAGAGAGCAAGATTCGGTGGATCGTAATTTCATCTTGCTTTTGGTAAAATAAGAAGGAAATATTACTAGTATTACTATCTCACTACTACTCCGTACACTGCTAGCTGTGTGACGGTTAACCAACAAGGACGAGACAGCGGAACAGTCTTGACATTTTTGTGAGAAAGCAACAACGACGACAAAGGCGACGAAGACGACACAACAGTGAACAAAGAGGCTTTTAATCTTACAGAAAGTCTTGTCTCCTCTTTCTTCGTGGTTCATCATTCCTTAACGTTATCGTTTTCATTTTCATCTTCATCTTTTTTCTCTTCTTCTTCTTATTCTTCTTCTTTTCCTTTTCTCTCCTCTTGCCTCTTCCTTCTTCTCTTCTATATCGATAAGGTCCCCGTGCAAACGGAAACCTTTGGTATATCTCCCACATCGCACACAGTCACGCGATACCGCGTACATTAGCTCCACGAGATGGAGAGACGAGCTGCTTTTGTGCTGCTGGGAATGCTATATTTAGCAGGCACCCTCGAGTCCGTCCAGGCAGGTGAGTCCTAGTCTTTCCTTCGAATTGCCCGCCGTTAGAGCGAGCATGTTTATTAACGAGTTTTTGCTATTTTGACCTTCTCTCTTCTTCTCTTTTTTCATTTTATTTTTATTTACTTTACGGGAAAATAATTCCATTTTTCTTTTTATTCCAAGGTGTGTGTACATTCCAAATGTTTAATGTTCCTAAATCTCTTCCTTCTTATTTGTCTTTTTTCGTTTTTCTTCTTCTAACCAGTTTCTGTTTTTCTGTCTTTTTCTCTTTCCTCTATCTTCCTTTCAATGTAAGCAGCTTACTAATGATGAATTCTTTCATCCAACCCACAACATGGAGTTACGTTTAGTCTGTAAATTGCAATTGAACGTTTCTTATAGAGAAGTACAAGCTTAGAATTGTGATTATCTGTTCGGAAAATCAAGCTGTTCATTTTTTTTTTATTATTATTCTCTATATTATTTTTATTTTGTTGATAACATATATAAAAAGTGATACGTAATATACAGTTGCAATATTCTCATATTTATGATAAGTATATATAGTAAGAGTATATAATAAATATGCGAGACATGAGGTAATGTATGTTTTCTCAGAAGATATACTTTTGTGTATCGTATTTTCTTCTTACTATTCTTCATCTATTTTTGTCTACTTTTTTAAATGAAAAGGAATAAATGAATACTTTATAGCGGGTATATATGCACTGGTTCTTGTAACTGGTTCTGGTTCTTGACATTGTATATATATTATAGTAATTTCTACGATATAAGAAAAGTTAAGGAAAAAAACAAAGGCATGAATTTTAATATAGTCTAAAACTGATGGTTTTTGTTCACGTTTCATTAAATTCCTTGTTACTAACAATGTTTCTCATTTCTTGATGAGAACTCAGCGTGGTCTGTGCGGCACAGTTATTATAAATAACCTAAGATTAACTTGGTAGAAAAAAAGGTCAAAGTCAAGTAGCACCTCAAAAACAGTTCCATACTTTCGCGGATTTTCATTACTTTATTTTCGACGAGTCATGTAGTTTGAATTAGTGATGATTATAATTTATAAGGTTTATTGGCTCATAAGATATACAGGTGGTTAGTAGGACGTTGAATTGTTATTGATCGTCCTCGAATCTTTTCACGTGGTTCTTCAAAGATATTGTGCTGCTTATTGAACACAAATGAATTGTTTCTTTTGAATAAAACAAATAAAGTCGCGAGACGAGAACTCACATCGATTTTCATCTTTTTTAATAAGAATAATTGTATATACCTAAAAACTATAATAATTACTCGATGTATAAATATTCTACAATAAGTATTATGTTTTTGGACAAACAATTCGCATAAAATTTCAAGTGACGCTCACTTATGTATTTCGAATTGTTTTCTTATAATTTTTATTATAAACAATTTGTTAAATATATAAAAACAAGTTCCTACTTAAAAAATAAATTTCAAAAATTAAATATTTCCAGGTAAATGATTAAAAAACGATCAAAGAATTTCTATATGTATGAAAATTGCCCTAAAACTTGAGGAAAGAGGTAAACGATTAGATACGATTAATAGATATATATATATATATATATATTTTTACATTATTCAAGCTACATCACCTTATTTCATTTCTCTCGTGGGGTATGCCTTTGCATGTTAAAACACATTCGAAGAATTTCGTCTGTATTTGCTCGTAAAACGTTAAACGGAGAGAGAAAAAAATAATTGTGTGCATGCGCGCTGACGTTGGGGAAAATTTACAAACTCCGAATTAATTTAGCGTTCATTTACTTTAATGTGTTGAGTGTTTTTTTTTCTGTCGAATAGGTTTACATTTAATGATACATGCGACGTAGTCGCTTCTTTGTATTTATTTATTGTGTATCGTGTGTTTGATGATAGGATAATTATTAATTATATATGACATGGATACTTGTTTGTTATACTGTCGCGAATGATTCGTGTTCGATGCCATTTGTCGTATCGTTCCGTTTCGCATTCTGCATTGCGTTTTATAAAGTATCTAACGCCAAACGGCAACTTTTTGGTTGCGCAACGGTTGACCTTATTTCTTATTCACGTAGCACCACGAAACGAAGAATCTGTGTTAATTTTGATTTTCTTCGGTCATTTTGATCTTTTCGAAAATCTTTTCTTTTTTTCCTCTCTTTCTTCTTTTTCTTCTTTCATCTTTCTTTCTTGATCTCTTTTTTGTTTCTTTTCAATGGAACCATTAATTTCATTCAACTTATTCCCACAGTGACAAATTTTACATATATACACATATATTCGGAAGAATCATAGGATTAGAGAGGACAATTCTTTTGACGAGATGATATAGATTAACACAAGCGTTTTTCCAAACTATGTTCTATGGCGAACTTTGAAAAGCCAATAAATGTTCCCTAATCAACTTTATTTTATTTTATTATTATCATATGTTTTGTTTTACATAATTACTCTTTGATAATAAATTTTTGTTTTGTGTTTCTTAACCGTATATAATTTATTTCTTTTATTTGTTACCACCAACCTACTCTATAAAATAAACAAAGTATTTCATTACAATTTTCAGGATTTCTCTGGATTAACATAATAGCATTTTGATGTAATTTAAGTAATGTGTTTTAATATAAAATGAGTTGAGGAGTACATTATCGGAGAAATATCGATTCGTAGTAATCTCGCGAGCGTTTTCGTACTTCCATTACTTCATAACTTATAGTCATTGTACTATGGATGATTGTTAGGACTTTAACCGAATTATTGTACTCTAATAGGATTAATTCTTCACTATTGATTCTAGAACAGTCTTATTTGATGTAATCGATTTATTGATGTTTCTAGGCGTTTATTTAAAAAATCAAGTATTTAGTACGTGTAGCTAATGAACAAAAAATAAGAATAATTTAAATTAAAATTAATTTTTTCATTAAAATAGTAAACAAAATTAGCATTACATACTATATAAGTATTTTTCTTATAACTGATTGAATCAAATTAGTATACCCTTTTTTTTATTTTACTATTGTTCACAGATGCACGTAATATATGGAATAATAAAAATATAAAATTTTCAATTAAGTGATTATTATAATATTGTTTAATGTATTTGATAGTGATTACTTAAATTTTGATATTACTACTTTAATTTAATTATTAAAATATTCGTTATGAAACATTAATTTTTTTTATGTAATAGACAGCCAATAATGTGTTAAGTAATAATAATAATAATAATAATAATAATAATAATAATAATAATAATAATAATAATACCACAAATTTTTAGCTCACAATATTTATTTGTCTCTAATAAATATCTCTTTCAAAAAGTCCATTAATTTTCTCTGAACATTAAATAAAGGGCGAATTTTTTTATGATCTAATATAATAATAAATAAGTAGGTATGATACGGCACTTTTAGGAGAGTTTTTTAAAGTTTATAATCGGGGTAAGTGGATATAGTTTTTTAGTTTACTTCGATTTTAGGATGGTATTTTATTATAATTCTGTATCTTTCTCTTTCTGTATTATGTCATGAAACCAAGTTATAAGGTATTACCAGAATGAAGTTTTATATTTTTCTGTATTTTAGAGAATCAAAATTCAAATTCTCTTCTGTAATAATTGGAATTTCAATAGAACGATAGAAATTTTGTGTAATATTTCGATAAATGTATATAAACCAGTCAAAATGAATTGACGAAATACATTATGCAAATAAAATAAATCTGTTTATATTTTTATTAGTTCTTATTCACAATCAATCTCTATTTAGAATAAATGCCAGTGTGTTGAAAAAGATATATAAATAAATATATTACACATATTTATAGTCCAAATAAATGACTGTTCACTTTATTTCAAGTAGTGTCATTTTTACTGGTTTTTTTTGTAATTCTAATGTTAAAGTTACTAGTGACGACAAAAGACTATTTCTTAACACTATGAAGGAAAATACAAAGGATTTAATTCGACTTGTTTTATTCGTGTTTCTTTGGTCTTTCCTCTTATCTTTATCGAATTTTCAATGAGATTTCTGTGATTTCTTTATACCAATGTACGAGATATCTGCGGAATTCTATAATTATCTTCTATAACATTTTCTGTCGTATTTAATTTAAATATGTTTAGAGTAGACCGATTTTAATTCTTATATTATATTCTTATTATCATTTATTCAAAGATTTTTCGTTTCAAAATAGAATCTAAAAATTGTTTTCTTTTACCCATCGTTCTTTTGAGTTATAGAACACATCTTGTTCTGTTGGTTGACCGACTTGATTGTTGAGAGAACGTCATAGGAGAATAAGCTCGTGACTTAAGCACAAACATTAACGAACAATGTATACGAAGATTATACGAACCATACATATCATCGATACGAATGTGTATGGGTGCTCTGTCTGTCTCTGTGTGTGTGTGTGTGGAGGGGGTTAGTCATCGTACTTACACAAAGAAAAAATAAAGAAAAACATGTTAAACTAATTTTCACATCCCTTCATGGATTCAAAGTTCGAATTTCTGTATAATATGTAATATATGATATGTAAATATTTAAATCTTCTTAGAAAGAAATTCGGTGAAAGTACACAATTATTATTCAGTATTTATTATAAAATTTCATTATTTATCATGAATCTTTCTCTAGCAAGTAGAATGTTTATCTCCGATCAATGACGTCACTAGCGTGGAATCGCAAGATAATTTCCTCTTGCCTCTTCTCTAATCGATGTTTCATTTATTTATCGAATATCTTGTGTATGAGTGTTTGCTATGAAACGATGGAATTAAAATCGATCCGCTTGATCCAATAATTCTTTGTTTTCTGTAGTATTTATCAGTAATAATTATTTGTTATTTTAGGTATTTATTAAGTTCTATAGTCTTGTATATATCGTATAATTGTTATTATATTTTTTCTAATGAAACACAAATAAGAATCACGTGGTTGGTCCTTCCCTCAGGTACAATCATAATAGAGAAAAAATTCGTAAAAAAAAAAAATTAAACAAATTATTTTATGATTCATTTTATAATATTAGTATTATTTGGTTTAATTTAATTAATTTACCGTTACAATTACTATCACATATATATATATATATTAGGTCTGAGAAAAAGAGATTTATTATTTTAAAGTTTATTATAATTTCCTTTTACCCCAAACACCTAATTATACGTGCACACGCACACATTTATACTCAATATACATATATGTGTGTGAGGTTTCTTTTCTAATGACGTGGCAACGTTGAGAACGGGAAGTATCTTATTGACCAGCTATGACGTGTGATGCGTAACATGCGCACTTTTGTTCAGCCATTTAAGGATGTTGGTAAGAGATATGTCAAAATGCTACAAAAAGAATGAAAATCTTTTTTTGTTTTTTATTTAATGTTTAATTCACTGTAAACTTTTCAAATTGATCCATTAAGTCGTTTAAAAATTATTGCAATTTAAAATAATTGTTATTTTATATGTGATCTTATGGCGATTGAGTTTATCGACTTTTACTAAATAATTATTGAGAAAATACTTACGGACAATCAAAAAGTCAGGTTTTTACTCGATAAATCAATTAGTCTATACGAAAGTGCGGCAACACTGTACTCAACTGAAAACTAAATATGTGACTATAGTTTTGTTGTTTTGTATACAGTATAAGCAGCTAGAGTATATTTTATGAGATAGGTAGAAATAAAGAGAAGAATAGAGCTAGTATGAAAACAAGAGACAGATATATTGTGTAGCTAATTTAAAAAATTAGCAGTGTTGTCACGTTTTTTTCTATTGTTCGAAATGTTGAATAATTAATATTAATAATATTTTTCATTGAAAATGATCTAAAATAAGTAATATTTACATTGCCAAAAATTATTAAAAGTTGTTTCATATTATTTATCGTTTCTTATTTAATTTAACATTATTGATAAAATTTCTTCTTTTTTTTATTTATACATTCTTTTCTAGCATTGACATAATTAATTTATTTCATAACATGCTGTAAAATGTAGATATTTACGAATTTTAAATTTTTAGCACTTTTATTTTCGATTGTATTTTCCAAACATCCTTACAGACGATTTAGGTTCTACTAAAATGATTAATAATTCGTATTATTAATTATTATGCTTGTTCTTATTGTTCATATTTTAATATTTTGACGTCAGCTGTCATCGGATGCGTTTGACGTCATGACAAAATTTAAATTATTCTCTTCCACTGTGATCGTGTAGATTTATCTAAATAAGTATACGCGTTAAGTCCTTTAAAAAAAAATTGAAGAAGATCCGAGAAAGGAATCTCGTGACTGTGGGTGTGTGGACAAGCCGTTATTGATCCCAATTAAAAATAGTTCGTTTGATTAATAAATTGATTGGTCGATTGTCGTTCTTTGTATCGCGTTTAGTAGGGTCGTTAATTTAGTTCACATGACACACGCTCAGTTGATAATATTGTTATCGTTCGATAATGCATCAATTAATCGATTATTTTATTTAGATTTAAATTTTTATTTTTTATGTAGAATTTGTTTATAGAATTTCGTAATATTACTGAATAAACTATCAGTATTGTTGTTAATAATTTGTTACTAAGATTCATAATAATGCTTGGCATTTAGTTAAACTGTTTTAGAAAAACAAAATATTAGGTCTACCGGAAAGTTTTGTCCACTTTTAGAATAAAATAAAAGTAATAAATTTTCATATCTCCTGAATTGACTAATAATTATTGGGTAATATAATTATTATCATATTATTTATAACTTCTTACCACAACGTGATGACAATTTGTATATTATATTTTTAAAAAATGTCTTATCCCTAGAGACAAAAAATTGGATCGGTGTTTTTCAGAACAGACAGAACTTTCCGGTAGACCTAATATTAATCAAAAATATAAAATAAAGGGAAAAAAAGAGTAAAACATATTTCTACTGACATAAGTTTAGGTTAATCTTAATATTGGCACGTTTGAGTTTGTTCGAAGCTCGTGTTGGTTTGATCACGTGCTCGGTATTTCTCTATCTCTTTTACACATGCGCTAGTTTGAAGTATTCGGTAGAGAATACTGCGCACATTGATGAAACAGTTCATAGTTTCGGAATAATGTACCGTCCTATTTCCAGATGGCACCAGGTACGATAAAATTCTGATTCGTTTCTTCTAATAATCCAGTCGATGACCCTCTTATTTTTGTGAAATCTTATCAGAAGATTTCGTTGTTTTTTTGCTTCTTATATTCGTTTTATTCGGCTTAAAAGATCAAGTTTTGTAGATTACACATACAAAGTCATTCTAATAGATACAATACGATAATTCATTGAGGTTATGTTAGCGGAATTACTCATGTGATGTTTAAAATTGAGGAGTAGACTAGCTAGTTAACAATAAATTTTCGAACGCCTACTGATAATTTTAGTATGATACAGAAACTTTTAAATCCCTTCTTTCTCGACAGTTATATATAATGCCATTTATATTTTAGACAAAATATATATACATAGAAATGACTGATATACATGTTTTTCTATAATTATATTATATTATACGCGTTGAGAACAGTTAAACGAAAACATACTTCCTGATATAAAACAATTTAGCAAGGAGTCGTGATGCCAGCAATAGTTTTTATTATTTAGGTTAACACAATAAAGCAAAACAGTATTTTTTCTCCGACAGTTACCGTATGAAACTCATTGAAATTCTCAACTAGAACAAAATCAATCAAAACATATACTATGATAGGTTGAATAATCAGTTATAAATGTAGAATGAAAATTTTGCATTCAATGCTTTGCCTTTTTAAATTTTATTTTATAACAATTATAATTATAAATATTTTAATTATTATTTAATGCCGAATTGAACATTATTTACATCAGGGTTGTCCAACTCTAAAAGACGCAAGTGACCTAGCAGTATAATGAGTGCGATCCAATAAAAAGTCGTAAATTTTTTTAAAACATATATTTGCATTATTTACTAACTTTTCTGCTGACCAATATTATTAGAATTAGTATATTTATAATGTGTGCATTGCGAAACAATATTGTTTTCTTCTAATGTGACCCAAGAAAATCATACGGGTGGATACTCCTGATATCTATATTCAATAGTAAAAAATAAAACTTTTGTTAAAAACTAGTCACAGATGATCAGTTAGGATATAATTAGGTATACATAAACTGCCGGTAGATTTAGTGTTAACCAACAACCACCACATTCCTATTCCTTCCTTATAAGCCCAGTATTCCATGAAACAACATCATCGTGTCTTCTCGATGTATCTCTGTCTTTTATGTCTGTGTATTGTAATTCCCGATAAAGTGAACTATACGGGACCGAGGCTCGTACACAAGGGTCAACCTTGGAGTATTGAATGCAGCGGCCTCCAGCCGGACGATAACATTAGGTGGACTAGAAATGGTCAAACTCTCGAGCCGGAGTTGGCGAGCGGTCAGTTGGTCGTCCGTTCGAAGGCCAAAACCGGAGGAAGTGAGCTAGCAGCAAATCAGGCCACGGAGTTCCATGAAGGCGACTACAAGTGCACGCCCGACAGTTCCGACGTTTTTCATCTATTTCTATATTTCGGTTCGTAGATCGAACACGCGATCCATTTTCTTTTTTTCTTTCTTCATATCTTTTTTGTCTACATTTTTGATTTTTTTTTTATCTTATTTTATTTGCAATTGCGTATTTTTTACTTATGTCAAATTCCCAAAGTATCTGCCGAACGCTTAAATCAATGTATGTATCTATGTATTATATGTATGTTAAAATTGCATTGTTACTTTTTGCATGCTCACATATTCGTTACATTTGATGTATTCCGATATGTTTATCTTTTTCTTTCTCTTTCTCTTTTTATTTCTTTTTTTTCTAATATATCTCTTTCTTTTCATTGCGATTCTAGAACAAATCTAAATAATGTTTGGACTTTGCCAGTGACGTAGGGTAAGCTAAGCGATTTCAAATTTCTATTGAAATTATTCTATTTAAAATTGACTGAAATCGATGAGAGTAAGACTATCCCAACCCACTGGCGGATCCTTTTCTTATTTGTTCGCTTTTATTCGGATAAAAAGTAGGTACTCGTGACTACTCGAGAAATACGAGAAGTAGTCGAGAATACCTAGATAAGTTAAAAGACACTTTGAAGCTAAGTTTTGGATATTGGAGCCACATGTGGATGCAATCGATTTGTTTCTTATTGAGATCTTCTAATTTATAATATCGTGACAAGTTCATGATATATAATCATTTGATTATTGAGTTAATGTTAATAAAAGTATGAAATGTTTTTTCTAAATGAATGCCTCTTTAACTCTTTCCGTTTACTTTTCAATCGCAAATAAGAGATTCTAAACTTAGTGTATGACTTATTTTTTGTGTTGATTACGAAAACAAATGTGTGACGCTGGATACTTAATTAAACTCGGTGTGTCACGGATATGTGACGCTATTGAAAGCTAATGTGTTAAGAGATGCTATTACGTGTTCTTACTTACATGTTCAGTATATTGTAATTTAGAAAGTAGTCGAACGACACTGTGGCTCACGGCTTAAGAGTCGTATAGAATTGTTATTGTATCATCTATACCTTCTGCCTATAAAAAAAATTTGCCATTTTCTTCCTTTACTTTTTTTCTCTTTTTTAAAATTTATTTTTATATATGCGTGCTTTGCATGAAACAAAAATAGTAATCTCGTAAATATTAGTGATAACCAACCCCATACACATACACACACCCAAAAATCGACAAATCAAGAACACTTTTTCACTTCGTTCACTGAATTTGGATTTCATTTTTTGTATGACATACGATGACATCTCATAAGAAATAACTATCGTTCACCTAACCACCACTATTTTGTCGTAATAATTCGATTAATGATCAATGTTCGTTATTTGACTAATAATCCTCTTTCACATCTTTATACGATGACATTCTTTCTAGAATTAGATTTGAAAGATTTTATCTGCATTGGAAGGGTCGATCTAGTGATGTCAGTGAATAAACTCTACGTAAGAAAAAAATTAATAAAATAATTAATAAATAATCCTTTTATTTTTCGTTAATACGTTCGATCTTTTAATAGAGAAATAACGTTTTCTCATATAAAAAAAACGTGTATTTCTTGTATAGTGAAAAGTACTTACGCGGTGTGTCGTTAAAAATATTTGCATGCTTTTTGGAATTGAAAACAATATTTTTTTAATTATGTAAAGTGATCTAAATTTATGATTATTCTATGAAGATATTAATGTGATATATGAAGTTTTTCAAGAATAATAATGAAAAGAAATAGCAATTAATTGTAGCGTCAATTAGGAAAATTACAAATTTAATTATAGGGATTTGTAAATATGTCTTAAAAATGTTATTAGAATTTAATTATTCTAAAACGAGCTGCATTTTCTTAAAAATATTTATAAAAATGTTTTACGATATAATGATAGCAGTATTAGCGATTTAAATATCTTAAAACATATGTAATCTCTTTTTCAAGATTTATTTTTTTAATGATATTTATGAGAAGCGTATAAAATAATGCAATGAGATTTGAAAAATGTATATATTTAATTTGTATGACAAGTATATAATGAAATTTAATGAAAGCTTATTGCTTTTTTTGTTTTTCTTTTTTTTATCAATATAGTAATTTATATATAGCATATTGATTTCGGTACCATTAGTTCAATCAATTTGCAAAAGAATTATTCGATTTCCAAATGCATAGGATTACTTTAGCGACATAATCTGTGGGAAGTACGCTTAAAAAGCTTTTATTGTTTATTATATGTTGTTTTATTGATAAGATATTCTTTTTCCTTGTTTATTTTTATTTATTTACTTATTTATCATTGTGTTTGTGAACGTTGTAACGATATTATTTTTGGTTATTTCGTCGAAGCAATCCGGAATAAAATGTGTGTAATTAATAAAAATTAAACGGCAGTGCGTCGTTCGGTTTGCATATTTCGAGTTGCGACGTAAGCTTGATATACGTTGCCAAAACTCCACTTTGGTAGTTATTAATATGTTAAGAGTTTGACCCCATCTAACACTAAATCTTACAATGAGCCAAATTAAAAACAATTGATTATTTTATTTCCTTTTTTATACATATTATTATATATGTGCTAGTACTTATGACAATTAACTAACAATAAGTAAAAAAACTTTAAAAGTTGACTTTATCATTTATTTTATAATATAAATAATTGTAATACAAAATAAATTGTAAAATCAATAGTTTCAATTTGTTCACTTATTTTTAGTATATTGTCATAATTATTGACCCACATATATGTATAAGTGCAGATAATGCTTAACGTTCTAAAAGTTATGTAAAATCTATAAAATTTTGTTTTTTTCGTTTCGCTTTATTTTCTTGTAATATAAGTTGCAATAAATATACGAAGAATTGGCCGTAAATGTAATTGTCCATTACTCTATCTTATGATACGAAAAATGTGAAAGATCTTATCTTTGACATATACTGTTTTATATATTTTTTTATCTTTTTTTTTTTTAATTACAATATTCTTATATAATTATTATTATTATTGTTAATACAAAATAGAAAGTATTTTACATTAATTTAGGTTATATTTTCTAGTTATTTTAATTAAATTTAAATTTTCAAAATATCGATTAATTAATTTTGCGGATAACCTCAAAAATTTATTAAAATGCTTATTTAAAAAATAATTTTATCTAAATTCCGATTAATCTAACTTATAAAGTTTATGTATAATTAGGCATTTTTTAATGCGACCTTGGTTTATTAGGTCAGTCGATAATTCCGTTGAGTTTTTTAATAAGTAAATAACATAGCAAAAACATTAGCCAGTTTAATATAATAGCGATCACCAGTAGTCTCCAGATATTTTTTGATATACTCTGAACGTCACCTTTGTGCTAATTAATTTTGATATATTATTTATACAGGATACCCCATTTTTGCCGCAAAATGTTATATAAACGTAGGCTTTTAAATGCTTTATTACAAAGTTACAACAACAATACGAAATGGTAACGGATCGCTGTTTCGTTTGATATCACACAAGAATAGATTGTCGATTCCAATTATAGTTCCATTTCAAAATGAATGCAGAGTATGACGGTTTACTACTAATTTTCTTTGTTAATGTTCCTTAATTGCAGCAAATACGATTTTTTCATTTTTGATGAGTATTAATTTGCATTTGATAAATGTTTATCTTTTACTATTCTCTAAAAGTAAAAATTCATTAGCGTGATATTTAGTGATCTTGAGGACCACGGAATTTATTCTCCTATAATGAAATATTTCCTAAATGCAATATTTTTTGTAGAAAATCTAAAAAACGACTATGAAGTTAATTTTTCAGGTAACAAGTCATGTCAGAATATATTATTGTTGCATATTTAAATAAATATCGGCAACGTGTTTTTATTCTGTGTTGACAAAACACTCTAATCCATTATTATTTCGTATTTTTGTTAAAATTTTTTTAATGTATCACGTTTATATATATATATATATATATATAATTATTTTTCTTATTTTTATTTATAAAATATGTTAATAACATTTTGCGGAAAATAACTGGGACACCCTGTATGAGGGAGCTTTCAATAATGCCAAGCGATATCGATAATAATTACATATCCTAGATGGCACGGTATCACGATAAAAGTTTTATGCTTTCGTCGATTAAACACAAGACGGTGATGTTTTTTCTTTTTTTATTACGTTTGAGGAAAAGTCAGAGACGATTTTAAAAATTTTAATTAATATTTACATTATATATTTACGCATTATATACATGTGTACAATATTTTCTTATTCATTCTATCGTAAATTAATCGACATTCGAAGTTACATTATCTGCGAACGCTGATAACAGAAATGTTGATTCATAACAGATAAGATTTGAGTAAATGGCACTAATATCATTTAAAAAAGAACAGTAGTTTTTATCATCTCTGTCTCCGTTTCTCTCCATTTTTTCTTTTTATACTCTTCCCTTTCAGATTGCTAAAAATAGTGCACGTTTTGTGTGAGCCGTAAAGTTTAATATAAACTCCTTCTCTCTCTTTCTCTCTCTCTGTTTCTTTGTCTCTTTCTCATGGTGATTCTATAACGGAAGCAGAACATATCGATTCTAAAAACAGCGCTTCTTCGATTTATCGATATCTAGCCTACTTCCGAAGGGCTTTCGTTCTTCGCACTTTGCGGCTCACACGGAAAGTTTAAATCACCCGTCGTATAATAGACTTATATTATAACCTTTAGCTCCACCGTTTTTCTTGTATAGAACATTAGATTCCATTTTATTAACATCTATTTTATTAGAAAAGTAAACATAACGATTACACACGATCGTATGTGTATCCATATAACGTAAGTATGTTAAATAATAATGTTTGTAAGAACATTTGTCGAAGAATAATATGAAAAGCTTTTTTGTAAATAATTATAATCAAATTTAGCTACTTATCAGCTAGCTCCTATTAGAAATATAGACCCATTGATTAATTATTTGATCCTTAAATAAATATTAAATAAATGTTATATATATGATGTACTATCATATATATTAATTTATATATTATTATTAATATATAATGTAAATATATATATATATATATATATATATATATATATACACATGTGGGATCATCTTCATGCCAAATAAAATAGATATTCGTGAAGAATTTGACCGGAGGGCTTTGGATAGCACATGGTTCGAAACCCAATCCGTTAGGTCCAATGGTCCAAAATTTTTAACGAATTCTACATATACAAGGTGTCAGATGTTGTTTTGTACAAACATTGTGATAGTATTCTATGCACAAACATTAGAATAAAAACTTATATAAACATAGGTCATTTAAAGCTTTATTAAAAGGTTATAATATAAATTATAAAACTGTCTAATTATGCTATTTAAAATGTTGCCCGCTTACTTGAATACAAGTTTAAAACCGTTGTAGTATGCTGTTTAGGACATGACAAATTTGTTGATTTGTATTAATTTCTGCTATTGCATTCGTAATTTGTTCTATCATAACATCAAGCGTAGCTATTTTTTGTTAGTTGCATAAACTTCTTATTTTAATTTCCCCTATAAATAAAAATTTAGGGGTGGTTGGGTCAGATGATTCAGGCGATCAAGTTATTGTTCAGAGAAGAATACGTTGAATCACTCCAAGATAATAAGCCATATATGCAAAATCGCTAAACATTATCTTTGAGCAAAACATTTAAATAATTTTACAATTTACGTTATAACTTTTTAATAAAGCTTTAAATGATCTATGTTTATAAAATATTTTTTTCTTACTTTTGTGCTTAAAATACGTTTACAATGTTTGTATACCCTGATTAATATAGACTAATGAATTTTGGTTGTATCGGTAGATGTGAAGATTCGAGTACTTACACAGAAGGAGGTACCTCTGTCATTGGAGTGCGCTAATCGAAGTTCCGGAGAGAAAGTAGTATGGTATAAAGAAAAAATACCGATATTGACGGCATTAGTTGGTAAAGAGGAACTCATCAAGATTGATAACGAGACTGGCACTCTGGAAGTATTGAAAGCAGACGATATTGCCGTTTATGGAAATTATTCTTGTAAAGTAGGCAATGTTTCGACAGACTACAGGATCGTACGTGAGTGTGATCATTTGTTCTCTAGCGTTTCAAAAATTCTCGTTTAATTATATATTTATTAATTACCTCTATTTAAAACATATTAAACATAATTTCATATAATTATATTCCACAGCAAAACCGTCCGTTGTCTTACCCGAATCGATAAGCGTAGTCGAAGGTGAGAAATTGCTTTTGGTATGTAATGGTAAGCACAGTCCAGGTGTGAAGATAGTATGGACGTTTGGCAATCAAAATTACACCACTAGCAAGGGTAGAGTCAAGATTTCGCGCGATCAAGAGAGAGGAATTAACGGTGCTGTTTTGACTGTCGAAAACATTGAGATGAACGATCGCGGCAATGTTTGCTGTAGGGTATCTTACAATTGGTCCGACACAACGGAGGGTCATTCCGCGGAAGCTGTTTCCTTACTTAGGGTCAAGGACAAGCTCGCTGCACTTTGGCCTTTCCTTGGTATTTGCGGTGAGGTCGTAGTACTCTGTGCTATCATTCTCGTTTATGAAAAGAAACGAAATAAGGCCGAACTTGACGAGTCCGATACCGAGCAGAGTCCTGATACGTAAGTCTAAATTCATTGAATTGAAATCATCATTTTTTTTATCTTTTTCGACATCATTTACATATATAATTTTTTATTTTTTTTTGTTTTATTTTTTATTTTTAAACACACATTCTTCACATAGTCCCGAGGGCACAAAGCCTGAAAAAGACGAAATTTCTCAGCAAGTATCCCTCCCAGATTGTACGACTACTTCAGTAGACACAGCTGAAATTAAACCTGAACCAAAACTGAAACCGGAATAATTAAGTACGAATATCTTCAAATTAATGTTCAATCTAAATAATTCAAGAGAAATCCGATGACGCTCGTCCTTCAAATCGCTACCGCGATTTAACAGGAATTCATCACATATAAGGAATCTTTTACTGCATTAATCAAGTAGAATGAATGATTATTTACACGAATTTCTTACGTATTCTTATCTTTTGCTCTTCATCTTGATTTACAAAGGGGAGACGGAAAACAGAAAAACTTGACTAGTTCTTTACCAGTACTGCCACTTCCATTAAAGTCTAATCTTACATGCTTTATGACAAGAAAATCTAAGATTTTAAGTTTGACAGTATTTAATGATGAAAGATGAATAGTGTCAAAGATAGTAAATTATTTAACTTTGAATTTAACATCTATCTACAATATGTTATATTAGATATCTTCTTATAAATTTTAAATTATCAAAGTTTCCGGGATAAATATTGTCATTTTACAACACAATATCAACAATCTAACTACATTTTTTCCGATATTGCCTAATCTCTTTAGCCCATTTCTTCATCTATAATTTTGTTATTTGCAGCAAACCAACGCCTAACAAAGATTCCGAGGTCAGGCAGAGAAAGTGAAGAAACAGAATTTAAGCGGCGGGAGAACGAGAGCTATACATATATACCAAGAGAAAAAAGCGATATAAGGAAAAAATAACGTGGTATTTCATGGAGTGATTACTTAAATCAGCCCGGAATACTTAGCGAATACGGATTTTTTTGAGGAAATAAAAAAAAACAGATAGAAATTGGTAGATAAAGAGTGAGTGAGTGAGTGAGTGAGTGAGTGAGTGAGGGTGAGTGAGAGAAAGAGAGAGAGAGAGAGAGAGAGAGAGAGAAAGAGAGAGAAAGAAGGAGAGAGAATGAGGGAGAGAGAAAGAGAGACGGGGGGAGAGAGAGAGAGACGAGGAGAGAGAGAATGTGTGTATCTATGCGGAAGAAAAAAAAATAGAGAGAGAACGAAAGTATCATCTGTCAATGTGTATGCTATTTCGTGCGTAAAAAAAAATAAAAATTATAGAAAGAGGTCAAAAAATAAAATGAGGGTTTGTGGAAATACGTACGCAGAAATTAACATTTACGAACAAATAAAATTAAGCCTTAATATACGATGTTCGCTCTATATATCAGATGTTCGTCCGTCGTATTTGACTACATTGCTTTTATCGATATATCGATACAAAAATGATATATGATGTGATGTGTGGTGTGGTGTGTGTGTTAGGATGTGCATAAGTATCGCGTATGTATGTGCATGTATATGATTCTGTTCTATGTGCGCGCGTTTTAATGATGAGAATAGATATATTCGTATAATAAGGTTTAGAGGAAAGAAAGTAAAAGGGCGCGATAGTGATGATAATATAATATGATGATGAAGCAGCATGCGCAAAATTCTTTCAAAATGATAGGCTAAAAATGATGTACCATTATAATTATGAGATTCAGTTACCGTGGAGAATGCGATTACGCGCGCGTGCGCGCGCATGGTTGCGGGACATAAACAGATCTTATTTGTTGCGGTTAATCTTAATACATTAGTATGGTGATCGGTCTATTGCGTATTCGTTCACTACATATTTTAGTATCGTTCTTCTGGAAAAAAGAAAAAGAAAGAGGAGCGGTGAAAGGAAAGAAAATCAATTTAAAAGTGACTCGACTTCTCCTGTGTAATTTCGTGCACATTATCGACGAAAGGAGAACGAACAACCAACAAAGACAAAAAAAAAAGAAAACAAACAAAATAAATAAATCTTATGATATGGCTGAAGATGTGCTGGATACTACTAGTTACATTATAACATTTATGATAGGAACGACATGGCAAAGCGTGTTTATAATTGGCTTCCGATTTTACTTATCCATCTTTCGGAGGTATAGAGAACTTACCTTTGGCGTCGCCTTATTACAATTATAAATCACCAAACACTAAACAATATCGGAAGTCTTGCCACACGTGACGCCGTTGTTAACAACATTACTGTAATTAATAATATTGCCATCGTTACTACTGCTGCTACTATCGTTATTATGATTATTACAAGTATTATCGTTAATTTTATCCGATATTTCTATTTATTTATGATCCATCATTTTCCAACCAATCCTTAGTTATACTTTGGTTCGATCATGCTCCAAAGAGAGATATGAACGATGATAACTTGAACGTGTTTCATCGTATACATACCAATATTACGTTATTAAATTTTTTACGTTCTATATTTTCTACAATAGAAAGAAAGAGAGAGAGAGGGAGGGAGAAAGAAAGAAAAAAGTATCGTATAATCCATTTAGAAAAAGAACAAAAATGTACAAACTTATTATTAGCGTAAACATACGTGTGCCGCATTCTACTTATACCTTTTACGCATATATAATATATAATTTTCATATGTACATCATATAGTATATACCGCAACGCGTTTATCGTCTTTTCGATATGAATTAGAGATATTTTATAATAACGATGTGCACGCGTGCGCGCGCCGTTCGTCATGTCTGTAACACTGATAATCGATCGCAGCTTTCATTTTCTCACACTTTTGTACAAAATCACGCACGACTTGAAGCGCGTGCGTACACTATTGATTAATTCTTTGGTCGAAAGCGGCTGCTACTGTAAGTTTGTATCGTTTCCACTTTTCTCGAAATATTCTTTTTTTTTTTCTTTTTTTTTCATACTCATATCGAAGTACGTATGACGAAGAGACATATACGCATATTATGCTTACGTACATATATACGTAACGTATACGATATTCTCGAGAGAGTGAAAGCTTTGAAAGTAGATTTCCTTTTCGTTCAAACAGAAATGTTTTTAAACTCTCTGAGAATTTATTGTTAATTTTGTTCTGTTATTTTTGTTCACGAGATTTCAACCTTATTTACAGAACTCTTCACTAAAGCAAGAAAGAAGATGAAATTATTTGTTGGAAAGTCTTTATATCAAACGCTCTATTTACGATGCTCTTCCATTCTCATTGCGCTTTTTTTGGCATTTGATTGTCGTAATCAACATAAACACGCACAACTTCTCCGCTGTATTTACGTTGACTTGGCATGAAGTAAAAGTCTGGCTGATTCGCCTGAGTTGCTGCATTGTTTGTCGAACCCTGATGACCCTTTGATCGTTGATACTGATTTCTACGATCTTGAGTATAATAACCTGGTTGCATTGGTGTTGGTACGTTGTGCCTCGAACCTGGAGCACGAGGTAAACTGTAAGTTGCTCTAGGACTGACTATTCTATTAGGACCCTCTACTGTGTCGTGATCAAGACTGGTACCATTCCCAGTCATTTCTCTGGGTCTTGGAAGACTGGACACGGGTGGTGGATGAGTTTTTTCTTCTGTTTCGAAAGACTCGAATCCAAAGTTAGTGTTTGCTCCGGAGGAATAGTCTTTCCATGCATTACTGCTTATCAGTCGATCCTATGAATACAATTATAACATCTAATTATTCAAATGTATATAACTCTATTTAAAACTTTATATGTATTGGGACTTTATTTTAACCTTTTAGCTGTGATTATTGAGTATACTCGCTATTACGCAAAAAGTTACAATTTCTTAATGTTTAATGCCAGAAAACTACTTACCAGTTGTTACAATATTTATGTCAATTGTTTTTGCGAAAATTAAAAAATACTTGTCAATTCTAGATATTTTAAAATTTTTTGAAATAGGGACAAAATAAAAAAATATAAAATAAATCAAAAAATGCAAAAGTGTAATTCATAAAATATTTATAAATATTAGACTATATTTTATCTTTATTTATTTTTTAATTTTTTATCTATTGTCCCAAGGTTACATCTTTGAAGAAACAAAATTTTTTCTTAAAAAAATAGATAAAAATGTTTATTTTTATAGATATATCTAATTATAAGTACGTATTATGAAATTATATCGTTCTCCATAAAGAACGATCATTTGGGTTTTTCCTTTTTAATAATAGGCTTTAAGTTATTAACTTTTTACTGTGCTTGTGTACAGGTTATCTGTCAATAATAATTTTCCAAAGAAACCAAGGATATATTTGTATAATTCAAAGAAATTTTATGTAATTGGGGCAAATATTCTGTGTTTGACAAGTATACTCGTCATCGCGTTGTTCTAGCGACGCAACGCAACGCAAATATACACTTTTAAAAACAGGTTCCACAGTTAAAAAAGATTAAAATCTGCTATCCTGAAAAATTTTTATTAACTAACATAAGTAATTTTGATTTCAGATAATAAAATTTTTGAAACATCTGTAAACGTGAATTTTTATTATTTTAAAAATAATGTATCACAAGATAGGTACTAGATAGGAGATAAAATAAAAATTTTAAAGTAGGGGTAGTTATGATGGAAGAGGTGAAACCAAATTTTACCAATATTGGTTTTGATCGATATTGTTACAGTTCCCTCCATGTAGAAATTGACATGTTTTTTCTTAGAATCATAATTACTTACAATTCAGAGTTATTCAGGTAGATGACTTTAAACTGTCGACACTTTATTTAATTTACAACTTTTATGTAAGTTTTAATCGTGTCTGTAATTATGATAAAACTTTATTTTATGATTTATTTTGTATAAAAATTATTTATATCGTTATATAAATCATAAAATACGATTGTTGCAATTTTTCAATTCAGTTCATTTTTATAACTATCAAAAATATTTTTATAGGTACCAGAATGAACGCCTAAATATATAAATATACGAAAGATGGAAGTAGAATTGTAAGTTAACACCGGGATGAACGAGAAAGATAGACAGAGATAAACAACAAGATAGAGAGAAAGAGAGAAAAAGACAGATAGAAAGAGAGAGAGATAATTAGCGATACCTTGATTAGTGAGAAAACGAGGAAGCGATGAATATTTTTGCATGTCGATTGTATCTGAAGTGTGAGATCTACCAGCTGGGATTAGGCCGGTGCTTTTCATTCGGAGCATGCTGATGATGCCGAAGATGGTGATGATGGTAGTTGTAGTGATGATGTTCATCGCCGTTTTGTCGGTGGGACCGCGTCGCGTTAGTTCGATGAATTGGGTTGACCGCGTCGGAGTAAACCAGAGGCAGCGAGTAGACCCTCTTTATTTGTGACGATCGCGAAGAGAGCGCAATCATGCAACAACACAAGCAAAAGCAAAAGACGTACTTCGAGATACTCGTACATATAAAGCTCGAAAAGACAGAGGAGTTTCTACTTTAAAATACAAGATCAATGTGATTTGTGTAAATGTGTTAATGAACAGCTAGTTAGATCTAAATAATCGATTGATAAATAAACGACGACCGATTTTAATCTATTTCATAGTTATGGGAAAGAGGTTATTAACATTGAAAGAAAAGATAACACACGACAAGCTGTTAGAGCTAACACTTCAGTATATGTAGTAGATGGCGATAGAGAAAATTATCTAGTTAAGAAGGAAAAGAAAAAGAAGAAGAAGAAGAAGGAGAAGAAAAAGAAGAAGAAAAAAAAGAAGAAGAAAAAGAAGAAGAAGAAAAAGAAGAAGAAAAAAAAGAAGAAGAAGAAGAAGATGAAAAAGAAGATGAAAAAGAAAATAAAAAAGAAAATGAAAAAGTAGAAATGAAAAGAAAAAGGATAAAGTAATGAAGGGATCGTTTCGATTTCTTTTTTTTGTCCTTGTTTCTTTTCTTTCCCTTTACGAAAGATGTATGTAAGTATATACCTTGGTCGAGCGTTTTCTTGAAGATTTGTAAAGTGTACAGCTAGCTTGTAAAAGAGCTAGTGCTATCAATGCAGCAACGCATCCAACGACGATGTATAACTTTGTTTCGCTTAACAGGAACGTTGGTTTTAATGTTCGATCGTCTTCATTGTTTACTTCATTTTCTTCGCTTACTGTCAATGACCAATTTTATGATTATTAATTGTATTAGAGCAGATTTCTATAATTGACAATTTGCAAGAATCATAACTTAATGTTCTATTAATTTGTATCAGAAAATGTTTATGTGAGTGAATCAATAATTATTTTAAATGTAATGATATTTTTTGGCTATACTGTTAAGTATTTATGCATTAGTACTTGTGATTTTCCTTTTGGATGTACAGATTTAAACACATTAGAGTGGTTAAATCTTCTTTTTCGTGCTATTAATAGTAATTATCTGTTTCTAATTGTTTGAAGGTATATCAGGGACCAAAATTCATCCCAAATAGACAGTGGTTGAAAGTTTTCAGTAATTTTTGGCTCTTAATACATTCCAGACAACAAGAGATAGATAAAATATTCGTTGTATTTTTTTTATGCAAATGTAAAGCAAATCACACACTCAGTTTTAAATGTTATGGTAAACAAAATGTAACCAATCTAGCGTATTGTAACTTGTGCATTTGTAACAGAAGTAAAACCGCAAACACTGATACAAAAAAGTACCAGAAATTAAGAATAATTATTGACTCACCCTCGTATGCTATTTACCAATAATGAACTTTCTCTAGTAACCAATTTTCAATTGATCACGTTAAACAGGTTTACTTTCTAAATATGATTTGGATGTCGTAATACTTACTTCGAGGTGCTTTGATGACTAGATACTGAGGATCAACGGAAAGAGCACCAACTTTGCCACTAACGAGAACTTCTTTTAATACCTTTTCTACAGCTGCTGTTGTGTCCAATGGATTTAAAGCTCTGCCTTTGATTTCATTCTTATCCAAAATTAATTTAATATGCGCTATTGATCCACTTTGTTCTTTATCTCTGTGATAACAATAAAATAAATGTAAAATAGAGCAAACATTAATTTTATTTATCATGCTTTTATTATGTCCCAATACCTACTGTTTCAATTCTTCGAGAGAGATTCGATAATATCCAGGAAGGTTTTCGAAAACCGGTCCAAAACTATCTGTTATCGTGTTAGAGATGATTTCGAAATCGGGACTATTACGCAATGGTGGAACAAAACCATCACCGAGGTTAATTAACTTAACTTCAATATCGTAATACAATCTTGGTGGAGCTGGTGTTGTCATTGCTTCTATTTCTAAAGAAATTAAAATAAATGATTAGAGGAGGAAACGATGGTGCAATGATAAGAAAGTTTATGCATTTATTGGTGAACACCTTCTGCACCGCAAGGCCTTATACAGATTTTTTTTTGTGAAACCATTGGTGGAGCACTGTGTTTTTGAATCTTTTTGTTAACTGCATTGAATTTGCCACCTTTTATCGGATACATCATGTACAGGCAATTATCATCGGTAAATGAGAAATCTCTAGTAGTGTCCTTTGTGATACGTTTTCTTGAAAATCGTATTGTCATAATTCCATCCTCGATTCGTCCGTGTGTGTTATAAATATCTTGGGAAGGATCTAATAGGGGAGGATTGTAACCGCTCATCCAAGTGTCCATGACGAACTCCCGACCAGTGGTTTTATCCACCCATCCAAGGACTGCATCCGTTTGTGTCTATAAAAAAGACATATGACGTTACGTATTAATCAAAGTAGGAGCTTGGATGAAGGTATTAATATTGCATGGTGCTAACCATTTTGTCATCCTTAGAAAATCCAACTCCAGTCCAACTACTTGTGTTCGTTGTAGAAATCACGAAGGATATTTGATCCTAAAAAGATAGCTATATTTATCAATAATTATCCTAACAATAATACCTAGTAATAATAGGAGATATTAATTGGTTAGAGGTCCATTTACCATTTTTGCTTTGTAGTTCCATTCTATAGCGTACTCGCATGTATGATTTTCAATTGAACAATGTCTTGGATATTGCCATGAACCACCGCAGCCTCCACCTGGTAACGGTACATTAACTTCCTCTTCTTCGCCATTGTTTTCTATGAAAATAGTATACAAATATTTTATTAATTGACTTTAAATTATTTCAATGTGTTTTATTTTTCGCTTACCAAAGAAGTCGATGGTTGTTACACCTCTTTGTGAATTATGTCCGTGATACTTTAGTTCATCGACCTTATAAAATTCCTTAACGGAAACCTTGGATTTTTCAACACCACTTGGTGGACGATGAATGTATTGACCTGGCTCCTGACCTTTGGCCCATATCACGTGCATATTACCTTCACGGAAAGCATGATCCGTGGATTCGTTTGTTTCTAGTTTCCTTCTGAAGAGTATTGTGGTGACACCATCTCGTTCGAAACCCATGGCTGCTGTCAAACTATCTTTTCCACCCCAATAATTGTCTTGACGAGGCGTTGATCTATCTCTTGTATAATAATCCCCGATTCTATGCGCCATTCCTCTTGCCGTACCGATTATTATATCCGTACAATCCATAGGATTAAAGTCGTGTTTCGGAGTATATTTATGTCCCACTGATGGTACCGACGCTTCGCGTATAAAATAAAAAAAATACAATTAAGATATGCTAGTTGGAATGATTTTGAATGATGTTAATAGTAATTATATACCGTGTGTAATGCTTGTACAAGGATTCCTTTTAATCTACGTATTGCATTCTTAATGTTGATATAGGTGACTACGGTGGATTTTTGCATCAATAATTATATGCTTTTTTAAATAACTTTCTATATTTTTCATAGCTTGCATTGATTGAATGCATCCATATACCAATATCATGTATTTACATTCGAATTTATCTTCGATTATACATTTTTGCATATCTTAGTGTTTATGCAACGTTAGTTACGCAATCATTACAAGTTATGCTTATAGCGCTCAATTATCAAGGTTCTTATACGAGAAATACTTTTGCGAACTAATTGCGATCAAAGTATTGCAATCAAAGTAAATATAATTCTTGATTACACGCGTGATTTATCAGCGTGTTCGTTATGTGCGGAAACAAGCATTAAACTGCCTCATTACCTTTCGTTGTTCCCGTTTTGAGGATTGACTTAGCTTCCGGTTCTGAGATAGGTTCAGTTGGCTCCGGCTCGGAAGTAGGTTCCGGTTCAGATTTTGGTTCTGGTTTAGAATTTGGTTCTGGTTCGGATTTAGGCTTAGGTTCAAATTTGGGTTCAGGTTCGAAATTAGGCTCAGGTTCAGATTTGGGTTCAGGTTCGGACTTAGGCTCAGGTTCAGATTTTGGCTCTGGTTTAGAATTTGGTTCAGGTTCGGACTTAGGCTCAGGTTTAGACTTTGGTTCTGGTTCGGATTTAGGTTCTGTTTCAGATTTGGGCTCGGGCTCAGATTTGGGCTCGGGTTCAGATTTGGGCTCGGGCTCAGACTTTGGTTCTGGTTCGGATATAAGTTCGGGTTCTGGTTCAGTTAAAGGTTCAGGTTCAGATTTAGGTTCAAGCGTTGATGGTGAATCTGACTTAGATTTAGATTCTTGTTGAGATTTGGGTTTTGACACAGGTTGAGGTTCCGGTTCGGAGATGGATTCTGGCTCTGTGCCAATGATGACGGCCGACTTGGTTGCGCGCCCACCTGTGCAACAAAGCATGGACAACGTGCAACTAACTACTTGTATTAAAAGAGACCATCACCTCATGCGTCGTGTCTTGAGCGAGCGGAGGGAATACTATTTAAACGTATAAATTTAGCTTAATATATAATATATATGTCTATATGTGATAATACTATTGGTATCTGTGAAGCGGACTACTAATTTTCACTGCACAATAGATTACAAGCGAGCGTTTTATAATAAATACTTTCTTTCATAGCTAATTGAACGATTACGCTTACGTACCGTCCGACAGCGATGTTTTTGTTTCGGATGATCTACGTTTACGACCTATTACGAAAAAATAACGAAGTTATTCCACGTATCATATATGTATTTATTATAAGATAAAAAATGATCTTACATTAGATTAGAGACAAGAACGAACCTTGTTTTGTGCTAACGCGATAAGTCACACTAGTCTGTACAGTAACATCATCTGGTCGATAGGTCACGGACGTTGTACCGTCTACTTTAGCTGATCTCCTTTTAGCACCAGACCTTTCGCTATCATGTTCTGACTCTAGTTGTGGTTCTGTTTCTGCTACTGGTTCTGGTTCGGCTTTAGGTTCAGCCACCAGTTCAGCCATAACAGATTTACTCGATTGGCTTTTACTTTCCGCGATTTTTCCTTCTGATTCTGGTTTGGGTTCTGGTTCGGATTTAGGCTCAGGTTTAGGTAGTGGTTCATCTTTTGGTGGATCATTTATTTCAGGAAATGCACGACATTCTGGAGTTAAGTTACTCGGTCTCCAACCAACACCGATCCAAGTGGTACTGTTTGCAACGAGAACACCTTCTAATTCCATGCTTGTCCATAAAATCCTCCAGTAAAAGGTTACATCATCTGAGAATCGTTTCATCGTATAAGATTCTAAATCTAAGTCAACCGTTTTTACCGGTGATCCTGAAACAAAATAAATTTGTTAGTGTCGTACTATTTTTCCAATTTTATTTTGATTTATTTTTCTTTTTTTTTTCTTTCTGAATTATGTAACTAGCTCAAACGTAATTATCACGAAAAAAAAGAGAAGAAAAACTAAATATGTTCGTTACTGTCGGTACTTCGTCATTATGATTAATAATACAAAGAAATATCCTGGTGTGGTAATGCCAACTAATGAATTATGTAATGTTTATTGCAACTTTCGGAAAAAATATATAAATTTTTCATGTAACTCGTTTAGAAAAAATTCATGCTACGTATGTTGTTATGATAAGAAGTGTTAAAATGTTATGTATATTATGTTATGTAAACTATATCTATACGCACTATGATGAGAAAGAAAGAGACTCATTCATATTGCATCATGTTAAATACTATAAGGTCTAGTTTTATATAGTAGATACGTTTTACAGAATTTCGTTTCGTAATTTTCTAAAATCCTATAAAACCAAAAATAGAAAGTTAAATTTAACTTAAAGCAACATAAGAAAACTTGTAAAAATAAAGAAAAAAATTGGTTACTTAATAAATTCCTTTGAAAGTTTAAAATGCATATAAAAGCTTAAAATAAACAATTATTGTTTATTCCTTTTAATTTGAAACTCATAATGATGTAATAACGACTTATTATGGCAAGTATCAATTGGCAAAAACACACGAACAAATCAGATAGATAGATATATGTTTCTTCCCTTGCATTCATAAGATCATGACAAATTCAAATGGAATAAAAAATATTTTAATTTTTTTTTGAGATGAAAACTTCTTTAGAAAAGGGGAGATTTGAAAAAATAAAACACGGCAGTAATGCAGCGCGGTGATGAAACGGCCATGATATTAAGTAAAAAGAGAAAAAGAGACAAACATATAGAATTGAGCCTGTGGGAATGAGATAGAATATAACTATACATATTTTCCTATTCTTGGTCTTTGCTTTGTATTCCCCACTTCTGGCTACTAAGCTTTGTATATGTGTGTGTTTGTGTGCGACTTCATACTACGAAACGTGGACTCATATCATTTCGATACTAAACCTGTATGTAGGTAGGAGCGATATAAAGGTAGAAGAATAAACAGAGATAAGCGTGAGGCGACAAAAGAATAAGGTACAAACTAACCGACGGTCGAAATAAAGAAAGAAGGTGTGTTGTCTGTCTTTGTAAGTCTAGAAGGTTCTCGAACGATACCGATGCTTTGTTTATTGCATCAGACCGGACGTATTGGAAAATTCGAGAACCGCGTGCGGATGGATATAAAGGAGTGGGTATTGAGTCGTTATGAGTAGTCGCCAGTCGCTAGTCGTCATCAGTTGTTGTTCGTTGTCATTCAGTTGAAAAAGTTCAGTGTGTACGCGGCGCGTACCACCGGTGGCCAGCACTAGATTTTTTCATCGAGCGTCGCGTATCACCGGTGGTCCACCTTGGTCCAGGTTTGAACAAGCAAAAATCGCGCGCCGCCAGATGAAACGCACTATAGATTCGAGCGCCGCCCTACAGCGCAGACACTGAAAATCGGCGCCAGCGTGAACGTGTTAAATATATTTTATCAGTAGGATTAAACTGGGTGTACGTTAACCTCACACCTGTACACTAAACCCAATCCTACATGTATATATATGTAGGAGAGTTTTAAGTGTAGCAGAGGTAGACAAAAACTAGTATTCAGTCCTTTCTGTGGATCTTATTTTATTGAAAAGGAAAACTCTATTCAGACTAAAAGAAAAGATCAGGTAGGCCATAAAACCATAAACGAACCTTAAGGATTATTAGGATATTGGTGTAATAAAAACCATGTGTGCAGTGTCGGGACCTTTTGAAGAACTTCAGATACCTGTGTAAACATATGCGATGCTATAAAAAGGGTAACATTCCGATGTGCTAGATTAAGTTTCTGTATGCATAGTTCCCACTACCGAAACCATAGGCTGTACCTGTCGGTGGACTATGGGGTGGATCCTTATGCTATTGGTCAGTAAGATTTGTAAGCTTCTTCCCTCTCAAAAAGGGGTGTAGGTGATTTCTGATATAAAAGACATGGAAAGAAATAAGAAAGGCAGTCTCGGTGGTAGAAGGAAAGCAGTCTCAGTCGTAGAAGTAAAGTAGTCTCAGTTATAGAAGTAGAACAGTAGCAGTCATAGCCGTAGTTAGGTATCAGTTGTAACAATCGTAAGAATTCAGTCGCTCATCTAAGTTGTAACCGTAAGATTGTGAAACTAATATTGTACTTTTTCTAATACCTGTTTTAAATAAATCTTATTAGTAGGCTTAAACTGAATGTATGCTCACCTCGCACCTCTCACCCTAAATAAATTATCCCTACATATATATATATAGATTTGTTTCTATCTATGCCCACATAATATAAAAACTTTCTAAAATCTTTCTAAAACATTTTTTGGAAAGCTTTAAGTCTTTCCAAAAGGTTTCTAAAAAATCTTTCTACAAGGTGAAAATGTCCGCGTTCAGAAACTTGCAAAAGATTTCTAAAAAGGTTTTTTAAAGATTTTTAAAAATCTTATCACCATATTTTGCGAAAGGTTTCTAGAAAACATTTTTAAAATTTTTTCAAAAAAGACAATTGAGAGCTTCTCCAGCCAGGGTTCACCGACCAAATCCTTCTCACGAATGACCGATTTTTTTTTTTCGTGGCGTTGTAAGACTGTGGAACATATTACGAAACAGACCCTCCATCCCGGCTGAGCCTCCTGTGTGGGATTCGTGAAAAAAATTGGACCGCTGATTGACTGGACCGACGGGATTCGAGAACCACGGATCTTTCGCTTTCCGGGTGCGACTGCTCTTTAACCAATTGAGCTATTCAGGGCTACCGATAAATACTTCTTACGAATGTCTCATAAGTTTGGCATAGAGGCGCTCGTCGCACAAAAGGTTTTTGGAAGATTTTCTGAAACATTATCGTCATGTTTTGTTAAGGCCGGCGATACAAGTAAAATAAAAAAAAATCGAATTTTTTTTTTTCATAAATAGTTAGTTTAATATCTCAAAAATATGCCCGTAAATTTTTAGAATAAAATTCGCTATAAGTATCGATTAAAAATTCATTTAAGTACTCCGCCTCAACTCGGTGCTAGACGCGAACACTAAACTTTGAACGCGTTTTTCTCAAAACGACTTTTTTAAAACTGACATGCAAGATAACTAAAAAAGTTCTCAACCGATTCTTATGAACTTTAGCACAGATTTTATTTATAGTATTAGCTTCTAGTTGAATTTTAAGAATGCTACCAAAATTTTCAAAAATTGCCATTTTTGACTCAAAAACCGTCGGAAGAAATGGTCAAAAATCGGACTTTTTTGTCTTAGTCGTGCCAATTTACGATTTTTTGACTTTTTAGTTCTTTCTTAGTTCAACTAGAAGATACATGTTTTATTAACACGCTTCAACCCTTTTTTTTTTATTTCAAATTACTGTAACCGAAGCTAAAAATCACGCTGATTGATGCGTTT